ACATTTTGTCGAAAGCTTTTCTTGCGCTCTCCTTCCCCTTCAAGTCGGAGGCGTGCAGATTTTGAAGCCAGCCAGTGCTGCCAAATCTGATCTTCCTGACGGGGGAAGCGGCTTCCCAGAGCTCTCCAGCTTGGAAGGGGTGTAGCTGGAGGCAGATTTTGGCTCTCTCCGACTCCGCGGGGGGCTCCCCGAGTGTGCAAACAAGCCGGCCCACCCTCCCTTCCCCCCTCCTTATTTTTTTTTTATTTTTATTTCTCTGGGTTCGTTTATTGGCCCTATTGGCCCAATTTATTGGCCCGAGGGCCACTTTAGAAGTCAGCTCCGGTGTCTGGTCCTGCCTCCCCCTTGGCTGTGTAAATCACGGGCTGGTGTCACACCTCTTTCTGCTTCTGCTTCCCCCCGGGGGGCTGCTCCCCACGGATGGGTGTTTTACCTCCTCCTAGCACCCAGCTGGATGGGTCCCCAGCAGCACACGGTGCCAGGGCGATGCTGTGCACTGCAGTTATGCACTCAATGCATATATTAGAATATAGATTGCACATATTGCTGTCAGCCCTCCCGGCTGCTCCATGCTCCTGGGGGGGGAGATGCCTGCATCACCCCTGGGGGACCCAGCACCACCCTGTGTCACCCTCCTTGGCCAGGTCCCCACTTTATCCTGCTTTTTTTTTCACCGTGGCTGCAGGGACAGACCCTTTCCAGGATGAGACCACCACCCTTCAGGACCATGCTCAGGAAAAACTGCTCGAGGACCAATCTGGGGGGGGCAGAGATGTCCCCTTGTAAGGCAGTGACCCGCTGGCAATGTGCCCTGGCAGTGAGGACCCCCATCCTTCCCCCAGCGTTTCCCCCCTTGGCCCCGGAGGCTGGGAACATCTTGCTGTGATTATTTTTGGGGACCCTTTCCAGGATGAGACCACCACCCTTCAGGACCATGCTCAGGAAAAACTGCTCGAGGACCAATCTGGGGGGGGCAGAGATGTCCCCTTGTAAGGCAGTGACCCGCTGGCAATGTGCCCTGGCAGTGAGGACCCCCATCCTTCCCCCAGCGTTTCCCCCCTTGGCCCCGGAGGCTGGGAACATCTTGCTGTGATTATTTTTGGGGGGGCTGTGGGGCAGCTGGTCTTGGCCCATGAAGGGGCGAGGGCGGGAGCGGAGCAGCCCCAGCCCCATTTATAACCCTCTTCCTCCTCCTTGTTTGGGGCCAGACCTTATTCTTGAACTGTCTGGCTTTTCCAGGGGAGATGGCTTTCCCTCAGTTCGTGGCATTAAATAATTAAATGGAGGGAATAATCGTTGGTGAAACCCCCTTGGGTTCGCACTTCCTCGGGCCCTGTGATTGCTGATATTTTTTTGGGTGAAATATGACCTTTTTTATGATCAAAGGGGATCAGAGTTCCAAAGGAAAGTTAAAAAAAAAAAAGTTAAAAAAAAAAGAAAAAAGAGGGCAAGCATTTTCTTTTTTCCCAATCCTAGCGGTCTGGTAAAGTTTCTTTAGACATGCAAAGATTTACACACCTTTCTGCAGGGTGCCTTAAATTACCCTCCGACTCTTTACACATTTCCATGAGCAGAGCAAGAACAGTAAGTCATTGAGAAATTAACTGGCCTTTCAGTAATATCCCCTGTCGGCCTTTCAGAAGGAGAATGTCTAATGACTTTTTTGAAGTAGAGGTCAGGGTTTGCTTTTTTTAAATAAAACAATCTGTATTAATGCAATTTCCTTTTTAGCTGTAGGATTTGCCTCTTTTTTTTTTTTTTTTTTTCCCTAGCATCATTTTTTTTTTCAACTCCGCCAGCCACACAAGGCATCTAAAGCGAGACCCAGTTGTTTGAAACCCACCCCCCTGGCGTTTCCTAACTCTCTTGTGCAAGTTCTTCTTTATTTATGGGGGAACAAAAAAATAAATAATGTTTTAAGTGATTAAAACTGGACCTTGGAGCTGGCAAGGTGACTCTCGGCCATGCTCGGAGAGAAGCGCGGGTGGTTTGGAGATGAAGCCAAGCAGGTTTGGTTTGCCTGGGACTGAGTGCCTGGGTTTTGCTGAGCTGGGGGTGTGCTCAGAGTTTGGTTTTGTTGAGCTGGGGTGAACCAGAGTGGCACTGGACTGGCAGGACCGTGCCAGGCTCTCAGGGTGAGGATCCAGCTGGGCAGATCCTGCCCGGTTTGCAGCCCTTGGGACGAATGTGTTTCTGTTTGCCAAGTCCTTCATCTTCCTCTCTTAAAAAAAAAAAGAAAAAAACAACAAACCAGCAACCCAAGAGAGGGTTTTTTCGGTAATCTCGCTTTGTGTCCTCCGCGGAGTTTCCTGATATTTCTCTCATGCTGTGATAACATCTCGCGCTTCCCGAGCGCTCGCCACGGCACGGATCCGGACGTGCTCTGCCAGCCCCAGCCCTCCTCCTCCTCCTCCTCGCCCCCGGATGGCGGGGGTGGCCGGGGTGGGACGTGCAGCATCCTTGGGAGCACTTGCTGGGGCTGGTGCTGCTCCTTTTGCTACCTGGGAGCACGTTCTCCTTAATATTCCCCAAATCTTGCCTTATGGATATTATCATGCAGAGAAACTGGGCTGATGTGCCCAAATCTCCTATGGGGGGAAGGTTTTTTCTTACTATGGAGCTGCACCTCTGCTCCACCGTAAGGGTGATGTTGGGAGTAGAGTAAGGGAGATGGGGGGGCTTTGATGGTACCCGGCCAGGATCTAGTGAGTGGGTTTTGGGGTGGGTGCCCGGGGTCTGTCCCTTCCCCGGTGCTGGGGGAGCAGGGCTGCCAGCCCCATCCACTTAAACCCGAATCATGCCCAGTGCCATCCTGCCCGGGACAGAAAGAGCATCCCCATCCTGTCCCCGGCACCGAGGGCATTGGGCTGGGCAGGGGTCAGGGCATTGCTGCCCACAGGGGTGATGCCAGGGGCTTTTGCTGGAGGAGACCACCCCCTGTGCCCTGCTGCTCCCAGCAGCAATGGTATTTCTGTGTCCCCTGGGCAATTCCTCTTTCTCCCTCCATCCCTGCTGGACTCCAAAAATGCAGCGTGCCCTGGGCTACCTCCTCTCCTCCTCCTCCTCTCCCCTCCAGCCCTCCCAACTCCCTCCTTAGCTCCTTCTCTCTGCGGTCGGTGGCATTATAAAACACTCTGGCCAGGCCCTTGGTGCTTTCTCCCAGCTTTCTTATTCCCTCTGTTTCTGCCTCTTTCTTTTGCTCTTTCTTTCTTTCTCTCCCTCTCTTTCTTTCCCTGCCAGGAATCCCAGTCCCAGATGAACCAATACTCCGTGGCTCTGCTATTTCCCTTTTATTCCCCCCCCCCCCCCGGCCCCAAACAGGGAGGGGGAAAAAAGGGAAAAAAAAAAAAAAAAAAAAAA